ACACACACACACACACACACACACACACACACACACACACACCTCAATCTTGTCAGTCTTGGCGTCTCCCCAGTAGATTTTGCGTTCATCGTAGTCGAGTGCGAGGCCGTTGGGCCAACCAAGAGAGGTGTTCACCATCACCACTCGCTCCAGTCCGTCCAGATCTGCTCGCTCGATCTTCGGAACCTCGCCCCAGTCAGTCCAGTACATGTACCTGAAGAAGAAACATTTCAAATGAATATCTCAGCTGATGATGGACTTCATCTTTTATCTTTTAGTTGCAAACGTGTGAAACAGGAGTTGGACTTGTTTAAAAGGATCTGGAGATCCTGGTGTTCTGCACATGTGAAACACAAGCTACAGTAAAGGAAAGTTATTTTACAGACTTCGCTCGAGTGGAGACATTTCTGTTAAAGACTAAAATCATTCGGTCGTTAAAGACGCTGTAGATTAATTTTCTGTTGATGTAATGATGAGCCTTTGTTTTGTAGTCCTGCAGTAAAACAGGAGAGCTGGTGTTTCTCACATGTTGAACAGACCTCAAGGTTTTTTCATTCAAGGAGCTGCTCTGGAAAACGTTTGGATGTCAAACACGTCCAACTCAACACTGATCAATAATTCTGACCATATTCAGTTATTAACATCAAACAATCAGATGCTGATCAATTTGTCAATCATCTAATTTGTCTCTTTGATCCAGGTGCACCATGGGAAACGTAGGATCCAGTGTTTTTACATCATCAGATCAGTTTGTTTACAGAAGTGACGTCACTGATTAATTATCAGTTACTGTTAATGATGGACTCACCCGGCCACAGGGTCCAGCACGATGGCTCTGGGCTCATCCAGGTCTTCAGAGATCAGGATCTTTCGCATGGTCCCGTTGAGCCGGGTCACCTCAATGCGGTCCGTTCCTGTATCGGTCCAGTACAGATTTCGGGCGATCCAGTCGACCGCGATGCCGTCGGGGTGGTTCACCTGAGACGTGACCACAAACTGGGCGTCGCTGCCGTCCAGCAGGGAGCGGCGGATGGCCTTCACGTCGTCATCCGTCCAGTAGATGTAGCCCTCCACCGGGTCGAAGTCGATGGCGATGGCGTGGCGGATGTCGTCCACCTGCATGATGATGTCGGTGAAGTCCGGCGTGTCCAAAGAGATTCGCCGCAGGTCTGTGCGTCGGGCGAGCAGCAGCATCCGAGTTGCACCTGAAGACAAACAGGAAGATCAAACTCAGGGCGGAAAACATGGCCGCCGCTTAAAGGGATAGTTCAGCCAAATGATTTAATTTAATTTGTTTCAAAACCTCAACAATTACGGCAAAGAATATATTTTACAATTTAAATATAAACTTTGTTATACAGAACAATAAATTAAAAAAAACACAAACAACCAAATATATAGAAATTTTAAAAATAAGTAATTTTTACATAAAAAAAGAAACATGAACACGTTTTCTGTTTATTCTGTAAAAGTTTCAAACCGTGAAATACTTGATTTTTACGCGTTTATCAAAATTGGGTCAGGCTTTACGGAGTGAAGTGAACAACTGAGCAAAGACTAAATATATTTCCCTCGCCTCAGGCTCTGGGCTGTGATTGGCTCGTGGTTTGTATCTTGAACTCCGTGCGTCCAAATCATCAGTTCACTGAGTTTAAACCAAACAGACTAAATGTGTGTTTTTTGTGGTGATGCTGAACAAAAGCAACAAATTAGTAAAGTTTTAACATCCCATAGTGAACAGTGAGTGGCGTGCTGGTGGTGGAGGGGGTGGCGGGTTCTGAGACGTGGCTTCAGTCAAACAATAAACTTCAGGTCAGACCGTGGCCACGTTTCACTGCAGCGGCCGACAGAAAGAAAACCTCCAGTGAAATGGTTAAACCCCGGCAGTGAAAGGAGCCATTGTCTGCGGGGAGATCATGTGACCCCGTCTTTCACAAAAGATTCCCCGCCCTCGCTGCTCCGTCACTCGGCAGGCGAGGGTTACTGAACCAAAAATGTAAATAAAAGAGGCAGAGGGAGGAGGAGGGGCATGTCAGGGGCCGCCATTCAAACAGCCAGCTCGCTGATGGAGCAGAGTTACCATGGTAACCGCAGGTCAGCCCCGAAACCACTATAAGCAGCTCAGAGATGACGAAGAGACGCAGGACTTTTTAAATTAGAGAAAAAGTGAATGGGGTTTGGTTCAGTCTGAAAGTGAAGCAGAGAACGTGTTTGTACACACACACACACACACACACACACACACACACACACACA